AAATTTCAAAAAGGCATATAAGGGTAAAGACGTGAAAGCTTAATGACATAAAAACATAGGGTGGGCATGAGAGTGAGTCACCAGACTACGTTCAATGTCCAGCCACTAAGGCCCGAAGACTATTGATAGTTTTTTCTCTAGATACATACAGAAATGGTGACTGTTTAAACTCATTTGAAGACTCTTCCTTTTTGATTCATTTAAAATTCATTACAGTGACGTTTCGCTGTAGAATACAGCTTCTTCAGACTTTACAGAACAATTGAACTAAATACAAAAACAATATTTTACACACGTTTTCTTCAACTTTTTAATAGTGATACGGAAAGCTTGTTTTGGTTCCTCTCCCTCTCTGTTATCTCTATATAGTGTGTGTAAAATATTGTTTTTGTATTTAGTCCAATTGTTCTGTAAAGTATGAAGTATTTTCGCTGTATTCTACAGCGAAACGTCACTGTAATGAATTTTAAATGAATCAAAAAGGAAGAGTCTTCAAATGAGTTTAAACAGTTCTATAACCTTCCTCTCTCGTAAACAGAAATGGTGACGTAAAGACGTAGAGATTGTGTACACCTCTACGCGTTTGCTTCTCTAATAGCGAAGTGGAGCGAAAAATCTGTCGAATTTCTAGTTGTTTCTGAAATTTTTCGTTCAAAATTCGACAGTATCGAAAACGGACTGTCGAAAAGTAGAACTGTCGAACGACGACAAATTCAAATTAACCGTATTATAACTATTATTCTAATAATTACCAAGTAAACATAATGTATGAAGTTTTCGTCGTCTATTATCAATTATTTTATCACAAAAACTTGTTGGTTTCCAATTATCTGTCCAAAATACAATTGATACAGTTTCACCAAAATGATATAACTAGAACAACTATTGATAACAAGTATAACATGTGTTTATCGAATAAATATGAGAATAGATATTACTTGTAAACCACAACTTCCAATGGCATTCATAATCGATGCATTATGAATTATTTTATATGGTATATTTAATTCAACAGCACGTAATATAAGATCTGTATGAGTTGTAGCTGATAATGGATCACCACCAACCAAAAAAGCTACATCATTCACTTTAGCATTTTCTAATATTAAATCTATTCGAATAATAAAAAATACATAAAATTAATTATTTTTTTTCATATTTTACTTAGGGCATACCAAAAGTACGGGCAGTGACACTTTAATACTGTATATTAAGCTTCAAGAAATTTTCTTTCCATGCATTTTGACAGAGAAAAGAATGCTCTAGTTTTTTATGCTATTTGATCATATTTCAACTAATATAAGAATAATAAAATTTTGATAAGATCTGTTTTGTTCGCTTGTGTCCCGGTTCCATGAATGCTAGTGAGTATTTTTTGAATAATTTAACGATAGAAACAAGATAGAGAGCTGCGGTGTTCACCGTTGGAAAGAGGAAATGAAGATGCGTCGAATCATATATTATAGGCTTTTCTAATATTGATTTCTGAGGTATTTTTGTTCAATTTTCTAAGCGTCGGAAAAATGTTTTTTTTTATGAAAACAGGAAAAAACACAAAAGTGAGCTTTTTTCAGAGCTTTTGCTAAAAAATTCTATTAGAAGCTCGACTAAAATGGATATTATTCATCTCAACCTTCCGCACTTTGTAGATCTTCAATTAGTGGGTTGAATTTACACTTGATAATTGAAAATTCACTGTAAACAACTTATCAAATATGTTTGTTCTTAAAAAGGCCAATTGAAAATCTTACAAGAAACAGATCAAGAAAACCTATAATACATGATTCGATGCGTCTTCATCTTCTCTCCCCAACGGTGAAAACTGTAGCTCTTTTTCTTGCTTCTATCAAAAGTTATTCAAAAAATACTCACTCATATTTTTTCAAAATTAGTATGAATACAACCGACACATAACCAACCGAAATAGGTTTTAAAGATAATTTAATATTATGATATTAGTTGAAGTACGACCAAATAGCATAGAAAGACAGAGCTTTTTTTTCNGGGATCAATTATCATAATAAACAAGAAAATTTAAACATATTGTATTTGTTAGATACAAAAACAACAACAAAAAACAATATAAAAAATTAATTTATCAAACAATCATTTTTTTCGACTTTTCTTAATGGTTTTAGTATTTTTTGTTTTTGTTCCAGTTAACGGTTTCTTTTTGATCTTTTTGACATTTTTTGCTTGAAAACGTTTACGTTGACGACCATTTAACCATGATGGATATTGGCCATGTTCATCTTTGAGCGTCTTTTTATTATATTTACTTGGCACAGAATCATTTTCTATTTGCATACCTAAACAAAATTAATTCCATTTTTATCTAATATGAATACAAGAAAATTGTATTTTCAATTTTATACCTTCTTTCGAATCATTGACAATTTTCTCTACATCATCTTGACTATTTTTTGTTGATGGTACTAAAACAAAATAGAAACAATAATGAATTATAATATATTAGACAATGAATTTTCAACAAACCTGCTGGTTTGAGCAACGATAGTTCACTATTTTCATCATCCATTTTTAATGATGTCAAAAGTTGTCGTTTTAGTTCATCTTTGTTAGATAATTTTGTACGTTTTGCACTACGCATTGCTCGACACCATTTACTTCGTTTACTTTTTGCCATTAGTTATTATCTAAAAGGTTTAAAAATAATAGTAAATTATCAAAATTAAACTGAAATCACTTGCTGTAAAAATAAAGATATCACTTTCTCTTTAGAATTAATTTACAAGTGTACACATTCGATTATTCTCTTATCAAGTAAAATGATTTATGCTTTTTAAGAAAATCAAAAAGAAAGAAAAGAATAAAACTTCTGTCAGATATAGATACATACAGAAAAACGAGAAAACAAAACAAAAAATATGTATTTACTAATCCCAAAATAACAAAAAAGAAAAACGAAAAAGAAAGAATTATTTGTTGAAATATAAAATTTTTCTGTTATTGTTTGTCTGTGGTATGTAAAAAAAAATTTTAATTATTTTTATATCTTTGAGAGAACTGGAATTCTTACGCGCATATTTGATAAGTGAAAAATCTTTTGAATTTTTAAAAAAGGTTTTTTTCTTTTTTGTAAAATGATTGTAATTTTCGCTTGAAATCAGGTTTATAAATATACACCTTGATGGAACACAATAAACACTATTTGATTGTATTCTTGCGAGTTTTGAGGTATACTATCTCGTACGCCGTGAATATATAATTTTGAAAATAGAAGATAATCACAGAATTTGGCTGGCTGCACTTTGACTTTGATAAATGATGGCACCGACAAAATTCATACAGGATGCCAAGATAAATACGGGAAACCACTAAAA